CGAAAATAATTTTTATTTAAGTAGGCTCTGAAACCAAACACATAATTCTGTTTTTAATTTTCATTATGATAAAATTACACAGAGGAATTACTCTATTTTTTAGTGTTGCCCTTCATTATTAAAGCAACACGCTTCCTCTTTGGTTGCTTCTTAACTAAGAAATAAAAAATTTGACACTCATAAAAAGCAACTGACAGTTACGCTGGAGGTTGTACGCGAAAAGCATGCACACAGAACGATTTGACAAAACATTTCCATATTTGTTTAGTTTGCTTTAGGAGTACTTGCTATGAGTAAGCAATTACTTGTCGGGTAAATAAAGGACATTAGGCATACATTTAAAAAGCACAAAACACATTAACATAAATCTGAAGAATCAACTATCTAAAAGTTTTTCCATTAATGATTATAGGTTGCCTAATTTTACAAGCTTTGGAAGCCAATCTCTGCGTTGGACACATTCTTCCAATTAATTTAATAGGCTCTTTAAAGGAAATATGCACTGCAACATATTATCTTTTTATTTTATTCAAACCAATCCGAAATTGTAGTTACCCCATCAGTAAGGTAAGATGTTAGCAGAACTTATAACAACAGTTAATAGCTATTTACAAATTACATACATATAGTAGGTCGCTGCCTACTCTGTTTTTACCAGGCTCTCAACTGTTACATTATGCTTCTATTTCTGCGATGAAGTGTTCACTGTTCATTTTGGCAATGATGGCTTTAATTCTCTTGACACTATAGTAATCTGCGAAATGCGTTGTAAGAGAAAGACTGCGGAAGTCCTGGGACAGTTTAGTATAGAGGGAAGGGCGTCAGCTTCTTCTCTGGTGCCGCAAGCACACTCTGTATTCATTCTGAAGAACAGGATGTAGTACGATGGGAATTTCTCGTGATTAGTACACGCTTGCAGATAGTATTCAGATGTGAATCTCTTGAGAGTGGTTTTGGGGAAGATTGCATAGGTAAATCTTCCTGTCTCCTCGTTGTTCCATTTCTCCTGCCATTATTCTCAAAATGCGGATTTTAAGTAATTTTTCGCCGCCACTTATGAGACAGTAGCCTCCATATCTGTCTCGTCTTTTATCGATGCTTGTTCTGCTAACTCATTTGCTCTTTTTGTTGCCCCTGATCCCTGTATGGCCCCGAATCCAATTTAAGGAAGTGAAGTGAGTGGTCTTTAGCATTGCTAACACTTTTGCAACTATGTGCGGTTGCTTGAATTCTTTTTTTTTTTTTTTTTAACTCTTTGTATCACGCTCGTCCTGTCTGAATAGAATATAGTCTCCTCTGTGATGCTTTTCCCTGCTCATAGGGCTGCATTACGAAGAATATAGGAGTCCGCTTGGAAATGGTTGCATGATTGGCAAGTCTAAGATCTTCGTGATGAGCTTCGATGTTGCCTTTAAGTATTATGTAGGCTGCCTTAAGCGATTTCTGACTTCCCACCGCCAATAAAGATTTATCTTTGCCTTCTCTAGAAAGGAAGCCTAGACCACGGTACTCCATCACTTGCGCCGGGGTAGGCGTGTTTGTTTCTTTGAGCGCTCGACGCTTTGACTAAGTAATATCATATTTCCTTTGCACTTTGTGTTTGTCTGATAGTGAAAAAGCCTGAAGATTGTGCGTTCCTTGCCTGTGGTTTTTCCTTTAAGATTCCATGTGCTATTCAATATTTTACTCAGTTTATTTACAGTGTTTGTTGTGTCCCTGAGTGACTTTCAATGGGAGACTCACGTTAATAATTTCTTATCCAGTACAAAGCCTAAGTCGGCCATACAAACTTGTCTTCCTGAGGAGATTTCTTGTTATTTTATGCGCGGGGAATTAGCTGCTAATTTTTCTCCTTTTAGGAATACGATCATCTGAGTTTTGTGCAGTAAATTTAAATTTATATGTTGCATTCCAGTGCGTTAGGATATTTAGCGCATTTCCTGCTCTCTTCTCATTTGTGGTGCGATTTCATTCACTGACTATCAAGATAAAATCATCAGCATATGCTTGTATTTGAGCCTTTTCTTCAAAGTTCAGCTTTAAAACTGTCTACTATTATGTTCTAGAGTATAGGTCCTATATTCGAATCCTGGGGGGGGGATGAATCCTTTGTGTTATTCTGCTGTGGTATCTACTGTGTCTGTTTTGTACGTTATTTTCCTATCCTCCAGGAAGCTGGTTATTAGTTTGTAGAGATTTAAAGGGCATTTTGAGTCTTGCTTTCAAGCCAGTCACATAGATGATTAATGGCTGGCGATTTATGCAAGTATGCAAATTTTCGTTTTTTGTTCTGGAGGATGGTTTTTTGGACATTGTTAAGGGCGCCTATGGTACTTTTATCTTTAAGAAGCCTAATTGTGCTAGGCTTAGGAAGTTATTTTTTTCGATATGATGGATCAGTCGTTGAACAATTATGTTGTCTAAGGTTTTCCCCCGTGCCGATAATAGGCAGACTGGCTTGTACGAACCTGGCTTGCTTTTATTTTCCCTCTCTTTTTGAAACAGAAACAACTTCGCGTTCCTCCACGAGTTTGGGAAGTAACCTAGCTTGATGCACTTATTTAGAGTCTGAACCAGTGATGCTAGATCGTTCAATTTTTCGCAAATTTGCTGCTTTTGACAAACCTCTGCGACTAATATTTGTTTGTATCCGTTTTGCCAAAATTTTGCTACTTTGTTATTACTTTATACTACTTTTGCGGCTTTAAAAATTTTTAGTAGATCGTAAAACGCTGATATGTTAAAATGATGTATCTGCTAAACTTAGTTTATAATAAATAAAATTAAAAAAAAAATATTTAGGCTTAAACAGAAGTTCATAGAGCAGGTGCGAACAGTTTTCAGCGCCAGTGGCTGCTCTTTTCATGTGCTTAACGGATTAATCTGTTTAATCTTTAAAATTTGCCAATAAGCAGTACAGCTGTAGAAAGGGTATTTTCAGGTCACATCTACCAAAACCAAACATATAAATGGGATGGATTTGGAACTCCTAGATTCCGTTCTTTAAATGAAGATATCATTGGAACACTGGACGTTTCCTTATTAAAATTCTGTTAAAAAATTTCAATATTAAATACAGAGGACAACTTTTATAAATTTATTGAGCATGAGCATATACGTCAGTAATTTTTCTCTTTTCCAGTAATTCTACTTAGAAAGGGGAAATTATCTATACATATATGTGTGTATATATATATATATATATAATTTATTTACTAAAGAATATTGATTATATTATCTCCTAATATAAATTTAGTAGAAGTATCTAAAAAGAGTGAACCCATATGTAGTCTAATTCTAAAAATTGTGTAAGCCAGTTTTCCACCAATTCTATGGTGATAACGAAACGATTTGCAGCTTGAGCGCCATATATTGGGTACTCAAACAGAGAAAGAAATGAAATTCATTCTCCTGATTATAATATTGTTCAGAACTAAACAATCGAGGTGACTTAAAAATCTAAGTAAAATCAGTTTTCTAAATAACAACACCAAGAAATTTAACAATGAAAGAACGAAGATTTTTATTAGTAATCATATTCTGATAAAGTCAACCGAGCCGAAAGGAAAATTTACTGAAAAGCATTAATAGTTAAAATAAAGCAAAAATGATGAATTAGGAAAATGAACTGCTAACTCAAATAAATCAGTACAACTCGACTCGAGTTGATTTTCTAGCAAGATGAAGTATCGCTGCATTCGGGAATCTCAAGATCAGCGTAACTGGACTATATGGATTGGAAGCGCAGAAAACATACAAGATACCCATCTGAAGTTCATCGATTAGGAGAAAAATGCGTAAAAAACGAAGTCAATGAATGTAATGGCATGATTTTTTTAAAACATATTTTGAAGTACGAGTATTTCATCCGTTTTACCGTGAATAATTTATGGACACCCTAGGTAATACAAGACTCATCCTGTATTGCATGCATTGAGTAATAGAACATACTTAAATTTTTAATCTGTACATTAAGTATTTTACACAATGCAGAATATATTTTGCATATTAATTTATAAATATTTATTTATAAATGAAAATGTACAAGAGACAGCAATGATTAAAACGATAGTACAAGTTTCTTGTAAGTTAGAAAAATGTTGCCTTAAACTCTCAAGAATATATTTTCTAATAATCTCTAAATTTTAAGAATTAAATCCATAATTTTCTAACCGTTCTTGTTACGTGCTTATTTTCTTGTATCAAATAAATAACTATTGCTGTTAAGTAAGCTAAATTCTGTGATTATGTTGATTATAGATGACATCAAGATACGAGATTTATTAATTTTTACATCTGAATCAGCAATGCAACTTATCCTCTAATTACCAATAAGCCTTTAAATATGTTTATGAGTTCAGTTGACTGAAATTTGTGCTATTTTTATAATTTTGAATTTGAAAAAAAAAAATGTGCTGAATACCATTTTTTGCAGCGTAATTAGTATAATCTTCGTGATAATTTATAACCTAATTTCACCACCATAGTACATTTTCGATCGAAAAAGTAATTCCATTAAATATTTCTCTGTTGCTTATTCATGCAACACTTTCGGCTTTATAGTTTTTCCATGTTAAAATTAATATATACTTTGGAGTAATAAGCTCTTTCTATATATATAGTTTTGGAGATGTCAGCAACATAGTAGGTTTCATAAAATTTCCTCCTTTTAGATTAGCAATTGCTTATTAATTATTTAATTAACTGTTATTCAAACCACAAACTAACGACTAAAGCAAATTTAACTTAATTTACTACAATCATTCATAGCATTAATTCATTCATTCACGGCATAAGTCCTAAGAATGTTCTAAGCGAAGTTTTTTTAAACGCATGAAATACATATTAGCAATAACGAAAATTCTTCGGACGTATCAGAGAAACGAAACTGCCTATTGTTTTAATACTGGAATATATTAGCTTAAACATGTTCTACTTATAGAAATAAATGTTTCAAAAGAATCAGAAACTAAGCTAGAAAGGAAAAAATTTGAACAAACCTTGCTCACAAAATATGCCACTCCGACCTAAGGGGCAGCGGCATCGCACAGTTCGTTTTGATGTTGTATCTTGAACACAGATTCCACCGGATTCACACTGAAGGTCCGAACAAGTATGAAAAATTTGATGCACAGATGGTGTTGATACAGCTACAGTGTTCATTGGTTGAAAAACATCACTGACTGAAATTGCTTTGGGGCCAGCTGGTTCAGGCGCGTTCACATTTAGTGAGTTTAAGGAACGTCCAGCAGAATTATCGTACAGATGCTCGTATGATATAGGCGTGTATGTCCTTTTTTTACTATTTTGGTCAAATGATTCAAAGTTTACTTGTACGTTGTTATCCATTAAACTTCGATCCAAAGTGTGTGCACGGCTCTCCGGACGCCTGACGTAAATCGAATGAAAGGAACGAACAGCATCTGCATCTTCAGAATCAAAAAATTCCTCTGATGAAGTTCCATTCTCCATCCAAAGAGATGAATTCTTCCAATTAATCCTCTCTTTGAGTTTTGAATTTTCTGAAAAAGAAAAGAAAGTCATATTTCTCTTATAAATATTTCTAGAAAGTACATACTATATTCTTTTGTAATGTACAATTAATTTCAGGATAGGATTAGATTAATGGATTTTCAGATAGCTTCAAAAAATTAAAAAAATGTACACTCATAATTATTAAGCTTAAATAAAAACAAGATCTTATGATATATCACAGCTATCATATCGAATATACAAATTAGCACTACAGAAATGAAAACATTTTATTGTTAAACAATTTTTTTTAATTCGTTTAATAGAAAATAATAGAATAAATTATTTTAAGACTCACATCCAAGACACCACATACAAGTGATGATAATTTTGTAGTGAATTCATATTTTAAATAGATATTTGTGTCCTTTAATGATTTCTGAAAAGTTAAAAATTAAAAGTCATTTGATTCCAACACAGAATCTTTCGTTCAAATAGCTTAAGACTCCGAACTTTTCCATCAAAATTAATTTACTTCAGGAATACTTAACATTTAAATTCAACAAATTAATGCACACAATGAAAAAAAAAAGTCAAAACCATTTGTACTCATGAAAGTATTAAGTCTATTTTCTTCATTTAAAAAACCTATAGAAAACGAACACATTTGATGCCACAAAAACTATAATTTGAGACCGTAAGAAATTTCAGAAGTAGATTAACTCGTGATATTTAGATATTGGAGTAGATGACATTAAGCACAAATTTACAACAGCATAAGGAAATTAAAATATAAATCATGCAAATAATGTCATAGATGCAAAAATTATTAAGTTAAACTACACAAATGAAGTAATTTAATTGCATATAATAACATACATCCCTGCCACATCAAGCGCATTTAGGTATCCGACTGCGGGAAAGCGCACGAAGACAATAAGTCATAGAACATATGATGGATTTGTAAACAAAGGTGACTTATGTTTAGTCGGAAAATCGTATCAATAAATTAGCATAAACACACATGCATCTAACTCATTCCACTGACAATATAACCACACACAAACTTCAAAGTTTCAGTGCCTCCAACCACTCGGCTAAAACAAATTTAACACCAACAGAATGGAATCAAAAGTTCTCGTTCAGCGCGAATTACGGATTACACATTAATTAGGGCAAAAATTCTCGCTCAGACTTCGAGTAAGAACAATTACTCTTCTCTCTTAATAAATTAGAAAAGGAAAAAAGTTCATTTGTAAAACTGAAAAATAAATTAAAACTGCAATGAGACGTCCATTTTATTTTGCCTCGTATAAGTAATACTTTTTTTTAATGGCGGGCACTAGCCATTTTTAGGCTTTAGCCATTACTAAGGCCAGAAGTGGTGGTCATTTTATTATGGAGGCGCCTAATGGACGATCACAGTTACTTCCAATGAGGGGATGGACAAATTACATTTATGCCTTCTCCGGGATTCAAGCCCGGGTCCTTCGGTACCGCAGTCGGCGCCCCTGACCACTATACCATTTGGATGGCCATATATGTAATATTTTAGGATGCGGAGAAACGGCACAAATACTTTTAAATCATGTAAAAATAATACGCAACAGTTTATTAATAAACATGCATTAAATATAGTCAGACATTCACATAGCATTTAAGAGCACTATTTAACTGCAGTAATAAACAATATATTCAAAGCCACATTCAGTGAAGTCTTTCAATTCCAATGCACACAATAATCATCTCCAAGTTGTCTGATATAATCAAAAACTTCAACTGCAGTTTGAATTTGTAATTATTAGCATGTTAAAATGAAAACAATGGATTCCTGAATTCTCCCATTTTTCACTTTTTACCCAAAATAATTCTTAAATTAACGAAATTGCATTTTCAGGAAGTAGTATAAATTTAATAACCTTCATGTGTTTTGCCATAATCGATTAACAGAGCAAATAATATATTGTAATCTCAGAGAAAACCAGCGGCCGAGTGCAGAAAATTTCTGAAAACTGGTAGTTCGACCCTCTGATTTTCTCGACCATAAATCTTTGAGCGTGTGACTCCACTGATTCACAATATGCTGAAAAGCAACTAATACCTACTCTGTGCCTTCGTTTATTACATTTCTATTGTAAGTGACGTCACTGAACTCCAGCAATGAAAATGAAACCTTGTTTGTTTAGAACAGGGTACGAATCCCGGCGGATGAGCTGTTACATGGGTGTTTACATGGTTCAGAGAAAAATGAAATTATTTTCCTTGAAAAGTTCTCCACGAATGCCTCCCCTTAGGCAGACGACACTCACGTGCCTTGCTTTCGATGAATTAATCAACCAACATAAAATGGCAGACCTCCATCCAAGATCGTTTAATCGCAAGATTACTAACGATTTTGGAATCGCAGGGCTAAAATATCGTTACTAAGTTTAAATACAGTCCAAGAATGCTTCATAAATCGTAAAATATATACAAGAGTTTTTGACATAGTTCCCTCTGCAAATTATTTCGTTTTTTTTTCAAAGCAAGAAATAATTTACAGAAGTACAGTCTTTTCCAAAATTCTAGAACCTGGCAGCGACAAAATTTAAGAAAGATACAATTATACGGTGTAACAACTTCGCCTAATTTGTTTTAAAATTTTAAAATGATTTTTTTGAATTATTACAGTTTACAATGCACAGAAAATCGCATTATATACTTTTGCATATTTGTGAAACTTATGTATTTGGTTACATAAAATATGAGACACATCCTAAATAGAACTTCGTTGTTTGCTCAGAGCAACGGAAAGTAGTTTTTGTTCCTTTACAAAGAAATAAAGTTTATCAAAAGGGAGGAAAAATGAAATTTTTTTTGATAAATTTTCAGCAACAGCAAAAGAGAGTCAAGATCTTGATCAGCTGTGAAACAAATATTAAAAAGACTTTTTACTGCAGACGACCCGACCAATTTGAAGAATATCTCTCTTTCAAATTAATAAGATGCTGGAAGGCTTCCAAGTCGGGAGTCGTTGCAGACGAACTTTGTTGCTATTCTCCAGACGTTGGTCTTGAAAAATCAGATGTTCGGCGCCACAACTGCAGCAAACAAAGGCGGTGATGGAGTTCCCCGATTACGTTCCCCAGCGGTCAACACAATTAAAGTTTTCATCCCACGCTTTTCACGTAATCTGATAACGACCATTAAATTATCAGCTAAATAAGATATATATATACTAAAATTGTTTACTAAATATGTTTTACTAAAATAAATAATATATATATATATATATATACTATTTATTTTAGTATCGATATGTTTGATTTTTTTTTTTTTTATTTAGGTAATTACGCAAATGAGGCAAATGCAAAGTTTATACCCGTAGAAAGTGCATTGTAAAGCAAATCTGAAAATACCGTCCTCATATAACATAAGTCATAGCCGTGCCTAGACACTTCTTCGCCTGAGGCAGAAAAAAATGTACGGCCCCAACATATACTTGAATTTATCATGTTCTTAATTGTTAAATAAGTTTTTAATTATACTTTTCAAGTGGTGAAGCATTTTAACAGCAGTTTTTTTATGAGCAAACAAATAATACATGTATTGACTTACATTTAAAAAAATGAGAAAACGAAAACTTTTATTACTAATAAATCAGTCACTATAAAAATATAGTAAAATAATTAATGTAAAAATTATAGCAGAAAGCTCAGGCACCTTTTTTAATAATTTATTTTGTTTCCATTTTAATGAAACAAAATCTTCAACGATTTTGTTTTCAAAATTTAGTTGATTATTTCAACTGTGCTTGATAGCTAGAATAAGCCATGTTTATCAGTTTTCCTTGTGGAAGTTAAACTTTTTAAGATATTAAATTTTATCAGGTTTTTTTTTACCAACTGTAGCTTTAATAACTGACATCGTAAAAATATTTTTGCAGAAGCTTCCAAATTCGAATCGGAAGGGAGAGGAAACATGTAATCATGAACTACCCTTTAAATGATTTAACTTGTAGTTGCTTATTTAGCACATACAATTATTAAAATATTGTAGTTTATAAAACTATGCATTCAATGTTTGCAATATCTAATGGAGAACAAAGCTTGTATTATATTAGTTTTAACGTCTATTGCTGCCTCTGAAAGTAGGTTAGGATTGCAGATTGTATTTGATTCTGCATTAGGGCTGTCTGCTTGTGGGAGGGATATTTCCAGAAAGATGTTTAAAGGAAAGTGGCCCTTCTTATGTTAAACATGAGGAATAACACGAAAGCGTCTTGCACGAAGTTCTTTTTAATACTGGAAATAAAACTCAACGCGAATTACTATCGCTTCGTAATGTTAGCCAGCATCAGAACGAAATATTATATTGTAAGGATCTTAAGTTTTACTAACGTTTATTTTATTTTAAATCTTTACTATCACTTCTTATTTTCTACTTCCGGCCAGAATTATAAGCGTGAAGGTTTTTATGCAAAGTTTGTCTGGCGAACGCCAAGTATTTAAGTGTGGCCTTTTTGCCAAGCGAGAGAGAGGAAGCAGTGAGTTCGAAGCAGGCCGCTTACCTTAGAAGTTACGCAGTTGCTATTTGCCTTCCAGGCCAGAGGTTTTAATCCTCTTGATAAATTAAACGTATTGAAGTGTTCACAGTCTCTGTGCTACATACGCTTCCTGTTATTATAAGGCCAATCTTCCACGTGTATTATTCTAAAGTTAAATTAGAGTTTAGTTTTATTTTTTTACTTTTACGTTAGACCCCGAGTGGCGGGTCATTGTATTCCGAAGTACGGAAGTTATTGTATATAGAGAAAAATAAAGGGGTTTTGTATACCCTTCGTCTGTATCCTGTCTACTTACTACAATTAGTGAACATAGCTTTAGTAAGCTCTCTGTTCCTAGTCAGGTCCTTGTATGTTCCCGAAGAAGGTTAGAAGGAACATTGAACCTGATAATATGACTGCATGCTTATTGTGCTTACAACAGGTTACCATTTTAATGTACTGGACTTACAATACGTATGATGTTGTAACTTGCAATACATGTTGTACTCACAATACGTTTCCATT